CCGCGACGCATGGCATACCGGGCATGCATCCAATTTCTCGTACTCTTTGCCATGGTACAGGATGCAGTCATTAGGACATGCATGTATCTTCTCTATTTCTAGCCCCATAGGACAGACAACTTGTTTTGCTTCGTAGGTAGTGGCGGGCAATTCATTGTACTTTGGAAGCATCTTCTTTTGGATTTTTAGTAACTCTCCAAATCCCTTGTCAGATACACCATTCTTTGCCTTCCATTGCAGCAATTCTAGTGTGGTTCCCAACTTTTTCTGCCCTGCATCACAAGTTGGGTACAACAATTTCTTGTGATCTTCTAGCATCCACTCGAACTTGATCTTCTCCTTTTCACTTTCACATTCTCTTTGTGCGTCACGAATGACCTAACAAAGATCATCAGCCGGCTCATCTTCTGCGGCTACCTCTTCTTCAGCTTCTCCCATTGTAGTATCATTGAAGCACGCACCATCAGAAATAATATCATTATCGTCCCATTGTTCTTCTTCACCTTCTTCCATTACAACACTGGTTTCTCCGTGCTTTGTCCAACAAATATAGTTTGGCATGAAACCCAACTTGAACAAGTGTGAATGAACAGTCCTTGAGCAAGGATATTCCACCGTATTCTTACATATGGCACATGGGCAGCACATGAAACCGTCGCGTTTGTTTGCCTCGGCCGCACGTAACAAAGAATGCACGCCGTCAATGAACTCTTGGGAGCGGCGATCAGCATTATACATCCAATGACGGCTCATCTGCATTACATGACATAAATATCATATTAAAACCTAGATCATAATTAATTATTTATACAACATGCGTGCCACCACAAAAGATACAAATTTATGAAAGCATCGCTACAATGTAGACAATCCCAACTACCACTAAAAGAACTAAAGCTAAAATACATTTCAGGAGCACAAGGATTTCGCGACCAATCTCAACTAAAACAGACAGATCCCCCGATTGTGCAACATCTTTGGGCTTCTTCGGCTGGATCACTGCCTCATTAGCCGCCGTATCTGCCTGTTGTGCAAGATATTTTTGCACGAGTTCAACATACTCTTCCTCCCAGTAGAAGCCTGAACATCGTCCACTGCCATCCCACTGAAATTAAAACAAAAAATTAGAACTTTAATCACAACCATCATGAAAATAGGTATAAACTAACCATAATCATTAAATACGATAAAATAACTCACATTGCGATCCGGACACTTGTAGAAGATACGATCCTTGTTGGGACCCTCCTTCTTCACTCGGTACTCCATCACAATCTTCGTCTCATCACGACACTTGCCGCATGGAATGAGAGGAAGGCCCGGCCTAAGTCGCTTTGGAAACCCATGAGAGGCCGAGGACCCGGAAGCAGTTGCCATCTACTCTCTATACTCATTTTTTAATACACTATAAATTTCTCCTTTTATAAACAAATAAAATTAACAAACTATAAAATTATCTAGATCTCTAAACAATGATATTTTTAATGGTCATTGTGTTCTCGTCTTTTACTGCGGCAGGTAAGTAATTCACATGATATTTCCGTAAATTAACAGAAGAATGGGAGTGTACACACATAACAGACTACTGCGACGATATCGGGACGTGTGAATAAATAACCATCCGTACTAGTTGACCTTGCTTACGTGATCATCTCGGCGAGCATTTCTCCACCGGACGGCACCGTACTTGGTCAAGGAAGAGCTCTGATTCTACGAGGAAGGGAACACGGTCTTCCACGACCGTTGCCGCTCTCCCTCGTAGAATCAAAGCTCCTCCTTGACGTCCGTTACCGCTCGGCAGAGAACATGCTCGCCGAGCTGAACACGGTCCGCAAGTTCAACTAGTACGGATTTGCTATAATTTTCTAACTATTTTCTAAGTTTATATTTATATATACTTTAACCTTCTTTCATGTAAATATGCAAGCTTGAAGTGATTTTGAGCTCAAATTGCTTACAAATGAAAAAAACCACAATAAAGAACCATAAATATATATAGTGAACAAAATGGCATAAGAAAATGGTGAAAAATGAGAGTATGAGATTGGTAACCTTTACAACTGAAGAATCGACGGAGGAATCGAAGAAATCGATGGAGGGATCGAAGAATGGATGGAGGAACAATGGAGGGAGGGAGGAAGCAAGAACACTACTGCAGTGAGCTTCAAAATGTGCTGAGCTCGGGCTCGGGGAGGAAGGAGGAGACGACCGATTTATAAAGGGAGAACATTTAGTCCCGGTTGATGGATCCAACCGGGACTAAAGGTAACTTTCCAACCCCGGGCGCAGCCACGGCCCGGGAGTAGACCTTTACTCCCGGTTGGAGCCACTAACCGGGAGTAAAAGTATACCTTTAGTCCCGGTTGGTGGCTCCAACCGAGACTAAAGGTCCCTGCCACCTCTGTCTGGCGCAGTAGCCGTTGGGCAGGGACCTTTAGTCCCGGTTGGAGCCACCAACCGGGACTAAAGGTATCTCTAGTCTCGGGCGCAAAAAATTCCAGGACTAGAGCCCATTTTGACCAAGGATCAAAGATCTGTTCTCTACTAGTGAAGATCATTATGTACATGCTACTTTTTTCTTTTTCACAAAGATTATGTACATGCTACTTGACGGATATCTTCTTCTACAAGTGGAATTGTGAATTGGTCCATTACTTGTACAAATATACATAGGTCCATTACTTCAATAAAAAACATACATAGTAGATGAAATATATAGGCCCAAGTAATACAAGAGTGCCTCCGGTTACAATGATTCCTCGGTATGTCGCTCGTAGGCCTCTGTACATAGTCTGGGTGTGACCACTGACCACACCCACCGGCAGCATCAAGCAGAGCAATTGAGCAAAACAGAGTACTGGCCGCTGCAAGCTAGCAGGATGCGGCTCCGCCATAAGGATCCCTGCATATATATTAGTTACATACAGGATCAATGGATAATGATACTTCAAAATTGAGTGCGTATTAAGCGGTACTACTACTACTACGTAGTAAGTACTACGACTGCACATGTAGGTGCGGTGCACTGCACTGTGAACCAAAAGTAATGTGGAACACTTGTTACCTGAAAATATTAGTACATGATTTATTTCTGGTATGGCCGTGCAGCAATTAGTCTTCATCTTCAGCATAAATGGTCCGTGACTTGATATGGCTGATCTTCAGTAGTAAGGAAGAGGAAGGCAAGTTAATTAAAGCCAAGAAAACAAATTGCTAACTTGTGTAGGCAGTCACTTCAGTAGTAAGGAAAGCAAGCCAATGTAATTTGAGAACATGGATAGAGCTCGTCATATCATCATCATTAAGCAAAGCAAGCAAAAGAAATATATAGAAATACAGCAGATGTACACACCCCTTGTTGCTTCTCAGTTGGATACCGCCACCAGGTAGCAGTAGGGATGAAAACGGTACGGATATTTTCCGACCGTATTCGAAACCGAATCCGTTTAGAGGGGTTGAGATCTGTCCGTATCTGAGTCCGGATATCCAACATCCGATACCATATCCGTATCCGAATACTCAAATCGCATATTTATGATGTCGATATCCAATCATATCCTATCCGACATAATTGACACTATCCGTATTCGAATCCGAATTCGGACAGAAATATGAAAACAAATGTAATATCGATGATATCCGTCCGTATCCGATCCGTTTTCATCCCTAGGTAGCAGCAGTCTCCTCTCCTCTCCCGGAAGCACCTTCGGCAAGGAGGGCGGGGCTTTTCTGTATAGCTGGTGATGGTACCTAGGGATAGCTAGCAATTATATAACGTGATGGTTTGATGGCAGGGCCAGCGTTGTCGTGTGTGTGTGTCAAACACTATAGATAGCAATGCCGGCCCCCCCGGAGATACTATAGAAATTTAAGGAAAGGACCATGTTGGTTTGTCCATCGGGGCTACTGGCTCAATAATTCCGGTGCATGCATACATTTCATGCTATATTTGTCACTCTCAAGACAGTGACAGGTATATTGCCACTAGTCCTGTAGAAAATTCGGCGCATGCCAGTGCCAGCTACTCCCTCCGTCCCAAAATAAGTGACGTTCTCGTTTCCCGAGAAACAACTACCGACAATTATGTATTAAAATATATAAATATTTATGCTAAGTAATTAGTATCATCGAAAAGATCTTTTTGTCTAGTTTTTTAACAAATTTATTTGAAGATGTAAATATTCCACGTATTTTCTACAAATCGAGCTAAATTTGTGGCACGAAAACCCAAAACATCGTTTATTTTGGGACAGAGGGAGTACATGTCTATCAGTCTTCTTCGTCTCACGCATCGCAGAGACATCACTGTCTTTTTTTTTTTGGACAATTCTACCAGTTTTCTTGGTCGATGTCCTCTACAGTCTAAGTCCTAATCAGTACTAAATTTTTTTTGACTCTTGACGCCGACATCACTGTCCATGTCCTCATCAGTATATAATAACTTGCGATACTGTTCGATCGTTCACAAGCCAAGACATGCTCGAGTTTGCAGGCCAAATCAATTGGGCTTGCTTTGCCGCACCAACAATTACTTGTTTGTTCGTTTCTCTTTTTATCCATTCCGATGCATGTAGAGCCCTGCTGTCAAGGAGAAATTCTCGTCCTTAGCTTACCAAGATTTGTTGTACAAATATATGGAAGAACAAGTGCAGAGATATACATGTGCGAGCGAGACTATACGACTACGACAGTACAAAAATTGAAACGGGGACTACTCTAACCACATTGTGTGTTTGTAAGTTGAAAAGAATGGTGGATGCTGGACGAGCACTTTGCTTCCACCACATAATATTATGCCCTGGCCCCGGTGTGGCTGAACTTTATCCAAACAAAATGCTTTCCCTCCCTGCTGATCTTGCAAATATTTGACGTGTCAGTGATTGACATACGGAGATTGCTCTGCTTATAAAATGGAATAGGGGAGAGAAAGAAAGCACATAAAAGGAAGCAAGATACCTTAACGTATATATCATTTTGCAATTCATCCCTGCATGCAGTCCTCAGACTTCATCCGAACACAGAATGTAGATGTCGTGCTTTCTGATATGGCTGATTTTGTCAAGTTCAGACTTATCTTGTTGTACTAAGGACTCTTGTAGCTTCTGGCTGCACCCCAAAAAATCGAGATACCTTGGGTATACACCTAGCAGGTATCCCGGAATTGTCTCCATGGTGGCGTCCTGCAGCTCCATGCCATCGAGTGCGGGGACACCTTCCAGCACCTGTAAATTCAGGCAACAGGAGATCTTAATCTTGTGCAACCTGGAGAGGCCCCTGATCCTCTTGAGCTTTGGGCAATGAATCACGTCCACTATCACAACCGAAGGGAAGTTCTCCACATGGGTCAGGTTGGCCAGATTGTGCAGTTCCAATTCTCTCAGAGAAAGCCTCTTGCTGCTGGCAAGCCCTGGCGGAAGATAGTTCAGCTTGCAGTTACCAATTTTCAGAGTCTGTAGAGAGCAGGCATTGCCATACTATGTGTGTGTCCATTCGCATGCTCGCTCGGCTTTGGCTCCACCCATTGTCACTCTTCCCATCCACACAAGCTTTCTAGATGAACGGTGTTGTCTCAAATTAGGAAAACCTGCTGATGTAGTAGTGACACGCTTTACTTTTGGTAACTCGATAATGTGCAGGACTTCCAAACTGGGAAGCCGACACAAACCATCACGGAGTTGCGTGCAGCAAGGCAGACCTTCCATTTGACATTTGCCCTGCCTCAGTCAGAAAGCAAAGAACCTTGCATAAATACGAAGCGAGAGCTTTTACGATGGTTGAAAAAGTACCATCGGTACTCTTAGACACTTTCATAATTTATATTCCGTGGCCAATTGTTTGAGAAAGACATTTTATAAATTTAATTTGGGTTATTGGGGGTATACCGGTAATTTTACTTCAGTTGTTTGTATCACTAGGATCACCGCCCTCTCGATTCAGCCACACAGGGGGCTCGTTTTTATTATCGGGTTGCTGCTGTCCCTCAACCCATCTGCGCGAGTCGCCAACATCATTGCGGGGACACCTTGAAGCACCTGCAGATTTATTTGGACAGCGGATCGGAGGACGCTAATCTTGTGAAATCTTTACTGTGCACAGAGCTTGCCACACGGAGAGCCCAAGTAATAGAGGTGCTCTGCTCTGTTATACTTGGTCCTTCCTCTCTTGACTGACATATGGTATATGTTTTTAGGATGAACTGCTGTCCCGTGCTTCCAAAGTAGTATGAATGAACCAATATATTCCTCAGTCACAGCTCACAGTGAAGGCTGCTCCTGGCCATTTGCTCTGCCTCCCTCGAAAAGCAGAGGGCCTTGCATATATTAGTGCACTGCAGGCGACAAAGCAGATGAGGATATGGTGTTGCCACGGAGATCATAGGAGGAGAGGAGAACTCCATAATCGCCATGACATCGAGGAGGCTGAGTAAGATCGATCAAAAATAATGATTGAGATGCCTGATTTCATGATCATCAATCTGGTCAGCATACAATGTTCGTGCTGCATGTCTGCTTTCATCATCACACATTCAGTCGACTACAAGATCCACGGCTTCAGGCCCATTACTTGTGCAAATATATATAGGTCCATTACTTAAAAAAAACATATATGGAGTGTAGAAATATACATGGTCAAGAGTACAATAGTGCTGGAGACTCCTTCAGTAACCAGGATTTTGGCAGCATGTCCACAGTCTGCATGTGTACAGAGTACGTGTATTGTGTGCTAGAGACGAGCTTCTACCAAGCAGATATCACTCCCACTGGCCACTGCAAGCTAACATCATGTGGCTCTGCCGTAAGGGTACTGGATGCCTGCATAAATTAGTTACACGGTCATGGCATAATGTCACTTGAAAATACGTACTAAGTGAGAGAAAAGTTATAGTTACAAATATAGGAGATGATAATAAACAACTTTCGGCCTAGTGGAAGGATGCAATTTATTACCTGACTGCACGAGAGTCCTCAATGTTCATCTGAAGATCCATCCGAACTTGTATCTGAATCTTCGAGGCAGACAATGTTGTGCCTTCCAATGTGGCTGATCTTGTCCCATTCGGAGCTACCTGGAGATGAGGAGGATTCGTATAGCTTCTTGTTGCATTCCAACTCGAGATACCTTGGGCTTACATCTCGCAGGTATTCCGGAAACGTCTCCATGGTGGGGTCCTCCAGTTCAAGGCTGTCGAGTGCTGGTACACCTTCTAGAACCTCCAGCTTTGTGCAGTGAACGATCCTAATCTTCTGCAACATGGGGAGTCCGCTGATCCTCTTCAGCTCAGGGCAGTCAAACACATCAAGATCCACAACTGAAGGGAAGTTATCCACATGTGTCAGGTTGGTGCTGGCGAGGCCTGGTGGAAGACAGCTCAGCTTGCAGTTTTTGATTTGGAGTCTCTCCAGACAAGGCATGGCTATGGTAGTTTCCACATCCATATGCTCCTCACAGTCGTTCCATTCCCACTCTTCCCACTCACATAGCCCAATCAATTGCAGATTTCTGAGTTTAGGAAACGGTGCAGATGTACTAGCATCGGAACCTCTAGCTGCCACGGAGGATGACGCTTGGAATTGGGGGCCAATACGCTTGATGGCTGGCGCATCTTTGATGGTCAGCAATTCCAAACTTGGGAGGCAGCACAGACCATCAGGCAGCGTCAAATACCTTAGGCTCTTAAAGTCCGCCGACGCTGGAGCACACGTCCAGTTCGGTAGCTGGCGACCAACGTATCCCCCTTCCAAAGTAAGATTCTCCACCTTCCAAAGTAAGATTCTAGGCAGGTTGGAGGGCAGAGCTTTTTCAAGACTTCCTCGGTCACACTCTGTTGTTGCTGCTGCTCTGCCTCAGCACCACCTATCCCTATAGTATGTCCACTTGCACTATAGTTCAACACTAGATACCCAAGGTGGCGCTTGCTGCTAATCATGGCCTTTTCAGCCATCTGGCTGTCCTGCACCTTCTCTAGGCCATATAATGTAAGGTTCCTAAGCTGAGAGAGAGGCTCCAGCTCTTGCAAACTGCACCAGATACTACTCGGATCCATGTCCATGTGTACTGGGAAATCAGAAAGTAACCTCAGATTTGTTAATTCACTGAACCCCTTAGGAATGACACTAACATTTGATCCTTCGATGTTAAGAGACCTTAGATGCACAAGTTTTATGATGCTGCTAGGAAGGTGGCATAGCTTCTTACAATTTCCAAGTGTAATGTACAGTAGCCTAGATATATCAGTTTTCTCCAAGTGAAGGTATCTTAAGTGCTTCAAAATAGATAGAGAGGGAACCAATCTATTAGAATCAGCAGAGCATATGTACAGTACCCGTAGGCTAGAGAAACTACTCAGCGAGTCACCAGGAAGATGAAAGTTTACTCTAGAATTTATAATTAATGTCCTAAGTGACTCTCGTCTTTGCAGAATGCCCCAATCCAGTACTGATACGGTCTGTTCTATAGAGAGGCGACGGACATGCATACCACCACCACCGCCACCAATACCAGTAGCAGCATGTTCTCTGCCAACCACCACTAGTGATTCTTCTCTTGCCATGTATTCAGCAAAGGTGCGGACCACATCGTGCATGGTACACTTGTATCCAGTGAGAGAATATTCTTCTATAGGTTCTATAAGGTTCCTCTTTATTAACTCTCGGTAGTACTCAGTTGCCATCTCTTCGAACCCATACCCATGTGAAATATTACTACTACCATCCAAAGGTTGGATAAATCCTTCACTAATCCACATCCTAGTTACTACTTCAGATATGAGTTCTTCACCTTTAGGGAATAGTGAGCAGTATAGAAAGCATTGCTTTATCTGGGGAGGCAAGTCCTCATAGCTCAAGTATAACCGGTTGTCTAGTTCTGGAGGCAGTCCGGTCAGTGACCAAGCTGGCTTGTTCAAAATAGATTTCCACTCATGCTCGCTTGGGTATCTTGTGCTCAAGAGACCTCCAATCACTTTAATTGCAAGCGGTAAGCCATCACAATTTTCAAGAATTTCCATCCCAATAGTTTTCAGTTGTTCAATTTCGACTACCTGCCAAACATGTAATTTGAAGCATCTTAATTATTTCTAACAACGATGAGGTTGCTTATATTACATTTCCTTGCAAACAATATGATTTCAGCATGCTTCTTTTGTAAAACAATGAAGGTTATGTACATATTAAGTACTTTAGATGCAAATGTAGATAATTTAGATGTAAATTTTAGTGCTACTTAGATTATTGTTTATAATAGTATATAGGTGTCGTCTAGTCCAGACCAACATTTAAGCTTACTTAGGTTATTTTTTATAACCACAGAGGTCTGTAGTTCATATACAGATTTAATGTGCTACTCTAGACTATTTTTATAACGAAAATGTGGATATCATCTGGTATAACGAAAATGTGGTTATGCTTTTACAAAACATACTAGCTAGATCCGGTGAATATTTTTATAGTGGCTACCAAATTGTCGACCTTATATTTCTGCTTCTTTGAAAGAAGTTCTAGGATTTAGCTCTTTTTCAACATGTCTTTTCAACATTATTGTGGGACACATAAGGAAGTTTCTAACTACTAGTAATCACTACTTCCAACAAAGAGGGCGGTTTTATTCTAAGTGAAACAATTTTAGCTTTCACTAAATTATAGTTAAAATTACCATCCACTACTGTAAAATGATTTTAGGAGACATGATCTTTGATTAACAAAGGAGGGCACACTTAGTGACCACCTCCATAAATGGTCATGGGGCCTCCAGGAAAATGCTCGCCTCCGAAAATCATTTAGGGAGACAGACGTCCTAAGACAACAACCTCCGAAAAGCATCGATTAACTAAGGCGGTCGGCTTAGGATGACTGCCTCCACAAATAAATTTTTAGATGCGGGTGTCTTAAGTTGCCCACCTCTATAAATAGTTGCATGCAAAAATAATTCATAACTTGTACATATGAACTCGTATAAAGATAAACTTTATATCAAAATTGTTGCCTTGAATGTGATCTACAACTTAATAGTAGTTTAAAAGTTTTTTATTTGAAACTATATTGGGTCCTAAAATATTGTTGTAAGTTTATAGATTCCGAAATTTTATATTTAAAATTTTCAAACAATCTTGGATGTTGACATGGTCTATACAAATGTTGTAAGTCTCAATACAATCTACAACTTTGTAGTTATAAGTCTTTTATTTGAAGTCATTTGGAGTCCCAAATATGTGTTCTAAATTTATAGATTTTGAAATTCAAACTTTAGAATTCCTAAGTCTTTTATTTGAAGTCATTTCGAATGTTCACATAGTTAATACCAACATTGGGGGGCTAACCTGATCTACATGTTTTCCATTGATAATTTTTTTATTTAAAATTTTTAGTGTCTCAAATATTGGTTTTAATTTCACATATTTTGAGATTTAAAATTTTGAATTTTTTAAACAATCTCACATGGAGACATATCCTATACCAAAGTTGAAGTGCTTGACAAGATTTAAACTTTATAATTAAAAATTTTCCATTTGAGTTCAATTAGTATTCATATTCAATATAAGATTATGAAATGTTGATATAAAAAGATAGCATCTTATATATAGTCACAAATAAGTGTGTGGTGGAGTAGTAGAGAGGTGCTAGTGCTGAACTGATTCTCCAAATCCTATCTCCGTAAATGGTATTAACAGATACGGGCATCCATTAATCGATTTATGATGGCGGTCGTTTGCCCGACGTCGAAAATGGTTGATTAAGAATGATGATAGGCTGGAGGCAGATGTCATGCCTGCCTCCATAAATGCAAAATGACCGCCTCTAAATATCATTACAGTAATAGTGAACAATTATAAACAGAAATAGGTTTGCTCTAAATATACTTATTTATTCTTTATAAACAAAATCTAATGATACTAAATTGATGTCATAATTGAAGTTAATATTTTCTGTTGATATTAAATATAATCACATTTCCAGTAGCTAGACTTCATAAAGAGCTAGCCATGCACTAAATTTTTGGATGGAGTGAGTAATTGCTAACTTGAGCCTAGAGTTTTGTTATTACTCGTATATTTTATTATTCTTCTCTTTCTATCATGTTTTACTGGTCTACTTTTTCTACTCTCGTAAGCTGGTGTTCCTTGCACTAATGTTTAGATTTAACGGAACTATGATCCATATGCTTTCTATAAATCAAGTATATATCCTAGTTGTATAAAGTATGGATAGATGACTAACCTGGTCAGGCTGCAACTGTTTCTTGAGCAAAGACCAAGCATCATCATTCTCTAGAGGCCTGACACGGTGTTGGTGCAGGGGGGCTTGCATCTGTTGGGGTAGGTGTGCAGATCTTGTAGTGACAAGGACCCGGCTTCCAGGTAGTTTCTTGCTGGCATTCCTGACTGGGACACTAAGCACATGGTTCCAAGCCTCATGACTCCACACATCATCCATCACAAGCAGAAACCTGCCTGTGGATATGGTGTTGATGAGGGTCTCAGTCAGCGTGCTCCTGTCTTGCTTCCCACCATGGTCTCGGCCAGCATTTTCGATTGCTATCCTCAGTAGCTCAACAACATCGAATTGCTGGGTGATGCTTAGCCATATCTTTGTTTTGAAGTGCTCTTGGATGGTTGCATGATTGAAGATCTTTTGGGCGAGGGTGGTCTTACCCATGCCACCGGCACCAATGATAGACACGACCTTGATGAGGTTGTGATTGTTATCTTCTGTGGTTAGCACCTGGATGAGCTCCCTTGTATCCCTCTCTATCTGTTCTCCAACTATGGCTGACTCGTCGACCTGTGAACTTGTCCTATAGCTGGAGAACTCAGCAGCAGTTAGCTTCCTTGGCTCCGGGTTGGGACCGAGGTTCATGTTGAACCTATACTTGTCCGCTTCCTTGTGGATTTCGTCCAACCGCTGGTTGAGCTCCATAATGCGGCTGCCTATCTCATGGGCGAACACGGGATTCTGTAGGAAGAAGAGGAGTCGCTGGAAGAAATCTTGTATCTTCTCTGCATTCCCGCACGTGATGAGTGTGGCGATGGGGTTCCCAAGGCACATCAGAAGTGGCTGGCAACAAGCTACAAGATTCTGCTCCCTGCTGCTGCCACCTTCTTCCTGTTCCCTGCGCTCATGGGCCTCGAGCTGACAAAGCTCCATGATGTTGGTGGCATCGTACATAGCATCCTTCAGCTTGCTAACCCATCTTTGCACATTCTGGTCAGTGATCCGTCTCCTATCAGCATCCGAGACAAAGGCTCTAAGGTCCTCCATCCTGGCATCCAGCTTGGTGATCTCACCAGAGATGCCCAGCAACATGGAAACCTCTTCTTGTGCTATGTCTGTTATCAGCTTCTTGACGTAGGGTGCCAAGGCATCCAAGACGGCTGCCATGGCTAGAGTCCAAGTCCTACATGAGCAAGTAAATCATCAGACATGCATTAGATGGATCTGGGATATCTGCCGGGCGCCGGCCCTTAGTCAACTATAACAAATTGGTACTGAAGGTAAGTAATCAAACCAAGGCTTTATGTTAAGCAGAACAAGGGGCTAGGTACAAATCGTGCGTCCCATAGAGGGAAGAGGAAGGCAAATTAACACCACCCCCCAAAAAAAAATACTGCTAAATTGTGTAGGCAGGAACTACACTGTGGATCCATCGGCCAAGCAAAGCAAGCTAAATATAATTTGGAGAACATATCAAGATGGATAGAGCTCATCATCATCATCACTATAGATAAATAGAGGGATCGGAGCAGATCGAACGAAGCTGTGTACACACACCTTGCTTCTCAGTAGATCCGCCTTACAGGTAGTAGTCTCCTCTCCTCTGCTACAAAGAAATAAAAGGATCGGATCGGATTGATGGGCGGCGCTTGGTTAAGCAGAAGCAGCAGCTCTAACTAACAATTTTGTGGTGAATGATGCATGAGCCGAGGAGGAGGTCGGGGATTGTTTGTATAGTGATGGTAGCGCTACGCTAGCTGATAGCAATTATAACGGGTCTTCGTTTGGTCTGGGGCCAGGGCCAGCATCGCGTGTGTGTGTGTGAACTGCTGGCGGTGGCAGAGGAAAGGACGACTGCACTGCATGGTATTATTGCTGGTGGCTCCCATGTCAGGATTTAGTTTCAAAAAGTTTTCCCAAAAAGTGCTATAATAGCTATCACATCGAATCTTACGATACGTGCATAGAGCATTAAATATAGACGAAAAAAAACTAATTGCACAGTTTGGTTGGAAATCACGAGACGAACGTTTTGAGCCTAATTAGTCCATGATTGAACACTAATTGCCAAATAAAAACGAAAGTGCTACACTAGCCAAATAACCTAATAAGTTGACCTACTGTGAGTCAATGACAATGGACGACCAGCAATAGGCTGTGTTTAGTTGGGCGAAATTTGGGAATTTGGCTAGTGTAGCACTTTCGTTTTTATTTGGCAATTAGTGTTCAATCATGGACTAATTAGGCTCAAAACGTTCGTCTCGTGATTTTCAACCAAACTATGCAATTAGTTTTTTTTCGTCTACATTTAATACTCCATGCATGTATCGCAAGATTTGATGTGATGGCTACTGTAGCATTTTTTGGAAAAAGTTTTTGAAACTAAACATGGGCTACTCCTTGTTAGTACTCTCCTTGGGAGACCCATATAGCTGCAGCTACGTTACTCCTAGTGTCCTTGCACAATGTAAATTCATGATGGCCGTCTCAGCACCAACACATTAGTTACGTGCAACTGTCAGCACGTACTACATACTAGCATGTTTTGGATGGACTCCTTTGGACACATGGAGCAAGCATCCAGGAGAAAATGTATTCACCGAGATCTTAAAATAAATTACCATGCGTACAAATGTATTCACCGAGATCTTAAAATAAATTACCATGCGTACAGGAATGCCACCAAGTGAAAATATAATGGGCAGCACAGCCAACACTATGTCAAAACAGGACAAAGGACACACCATAATCAGTGACATAGAATTGAAACACGTCACTAATATAAGATCAGCAACGCAGGTAAGCAAAACACGTTACTAATTAGGTGTCGTCCATGACCAAGAAACAAAATGCGTTACAAATATCAGTGAGCCATTTCAACTAGCTAGATGCATCACTGATATCAAGGATGGGTACCAAAGACTCGTTTCCACCAAATGAATCGACTTTGGACCCAAAAAATATCAAATCCAGTGAAATGGAGAGTTAAGTCTGGACTGTCAATCTCTATTTGCTCTATTTACATAGGCACGTGTTTATTAAGATTTATTTGTAGTGGACAGAACACAGCATCAGAGATGCAATATAAGTGACGTCTTTCTTTCTTCTCTGATGACTATTTAAACGCGTCACTAATCTACGAATCTGGGATAGGCTTATATATTGAGGCTGTGCAATAGAAAGCCGTTGAAAGCAAGCACAAAACCAATATATATAGTCCTCCAGCATCCAAGTTATGATGGATATAAGATTAATATTAATATAATAAAATCTGATTAAAGTACACGTGCATGTTGTGGCATCATATAGATCAAGTACACATGCATGCATAACAAATAAATATATATGTTATGTTTTCAACAAACATGTAAAAATAATTCCTTAGTGAATCATATATATAATTTATAAAATTCCTTAGTGCTAACCAATTATCTAAAATTATTAATGACCATTATATATAATTTATATAAGTTATTACGTTATATATTTATTTATATGTTTTATCTAATACATTTGACAACATATAATTTTTTATAAGAATATTCAAACAACGTCGGAACTTGGGAGGTTAGTGCAAACCATAAGTGGCTATATCTTCCTGCCCTGTGAGATTCATTTGTAGCAAATAGTCAATATGAGGCTTAATATTTGTATCTTCTTGAGGTTAGCACTGCTATTCATCCAAGATCTCCCTTCTGCCGCTATCACTTACCTTAAATAACATGGTGTTGGTTTTAAATGACTATTTATGCAGTCATGGTACTTAAGAGGGTAAATTAGGACCGCTGGTTAAAAAAGTGTGAAAATGGTGTTAATAAAATATAGAATGTTGGGGGGATGCCCTCGACGCGTCACCCTGTCTCAGCTTCAGCCACGACGGGAACCTGCTCCACCCTCTCCCTTGCATCCAAGAAAACTCCAGGGAACCCTCGAACCCTCGCCTGGACCTTCGACCACCGGTATAGCCTCAGGGGGGAGGCAAAAGCTCCCGAATACTTTTGACAGGACAATCACATTTATCCTTGCCAGTGCCCTTGGCGAGGGGCGCCTCGCCTTTTTACCTTTGTAGGTTCAGGGAAGACTCGCAGAATCGACTGGCCTGAAGAACCCTCACAACCTTCCTGGGACCGCCATCTTTGACTAATGGGGGAAGGTGCTCTCCTCAAGCAGAACTTGACGGTGTTAGTTGGGTGGTTGGAATCGTGGAGTTAAAACGCCTGTTGTACCCCCATGTACTTGTAAAAGAACCCTGGCCCTACCGAGTGAAAATGTAATTCCACCTTTCCCCGGGTATAACCTGTAAAATCCCAGCGGGCACAACAGTAACAGATGATGAATTAATGGCAGTTTACTCCTATATTTATTGTTCTCCTTCATCAAACCTTCACTCCCGTCCATTTCTTACATTCGCCCTGTTTCAACTTTTCCTGTGGGACACCCTCGGCCTCCACCTAGCTACGTAGCAGCAAAGGTCTGGAGGCAGAGCGAAGCCCCCACATAGAACAAGAGCACTGAACTTGACGATTAAAAAGTATGTATCAATCGACAAGCCTAAGACCTGTATTAATGGCATCATAAGAATAGGGCTACAACAAGTGACACAATAGTTTAAGCTAATGTTTTCCCTAAATTCATATTCAGCCTGTTCACTTGTTCATTTCAGCCGAGGCTTATTAGGCGTACAGTGTTTTTCTTTCACAATAAATCAGCCGTACAAACCAGCACAAGCGGCTTATAGACCAGTCGAACAGGCTGATTGAGGATACAAAGAGGTGCCATGCAAATGGGCAAAAAAGTGTAGATATGGATGAAAACACATATAGATTAGTAAGTTATAAGTTTATCACAACTAGTAGATAAGACTATAGAGTATATATTATTTTTGGAATGTCAACAGGGGGATTACTCCTCACCTCAATATATATTATATAGCCCAAAATGGCTCATTATATGTTTTACAAACGTTTAGGATGGAACAACAACACCACCAAAATGCCCTAGCACCAGGGTGACAGAACCACAAATACACAAGCGAATGCAAGGACTACCATGCGCAAGGCACAAGAGCTCTTTGATGATGGCCCCACGGAGGTGAATGATGCCAAAACGTAATCATCGTCAGCCAAGCAAAAGCTTGTCGAGGCTTTCGCCCGAGCCTTGCGCCGACGGGGACATGCATTGATCAGGCCGATCCACAAGAAGCAGCTACTAGAGGTTCTTCAGTGACGCCTTAAAGAAGGAAATCTCGTCGCTGGCCTAGACTTGATCGGGGCTGAGCTTTCGCCCAGAACCTTTGCCAGTGCTCCCGTTGACCCGCCTGTGACGGAGTGAGGCGCATATCGGCAAGCGTCCACGCTTGGACGAAGGGGGTAGGTGCCGGCCGGCGCCACCCCGAGCGGAGGCATTCCCGGACAAGCCCGCGACGGTAGGAGGCACGCACTAGCAACGCCAGGTGGAGAGGGGGGTCGCTGGCCGCTGCCACGCCGTACAGAGCCATTTCAAGACTCGCCCGCGATGGTGGGAGGAGCGCGCCAGCAAGGGTCCATGCCTGGATGGAGAGACGGGAGCGACTGTCGGCTGCTACCACACCTCACGGAGCTGAATCTGGACTCGCCCACGACGGTAGGAGGCACGCACTAGCAACGCCAGGTGGAGAGGGGGGTCGTCGGCTGCTGCCACGCCGTACAGAGCCATTTCAAGACTCGCCCGCGATGGTGGGAGGAGCGCGCCAGCAAGGGTCCATGCCTGGACGGATAGACGGGAGCGACTGTCGGCTGCTACCACACCTCACGGAGCTGAATCTGGACTCGCCCGCGACAATGGGAGGCATGCACTGGCAAGTGTTCACACCTAGACCGAGGGGGGTGCCGGTCGCCACCACACCGCGTGGAGCCGTTCGTGGACTCGCTCGTGATGGTGCGGTGCCAGCCACCACCACACCTTGCGGAGCCATTCCCAGACTCGCCCCTCATGGTGGGAAGTGGCTATCGTCCTCACCTAGATGGAGGGGGAGGGAGGTGCCAAGGGGGTGGGGTGGGGGTATCGGGGACGCGACCGCGTCTGCTCGTGGTGCGCCATGCTAGGGGAGTTGCGCCTGCCGCCACACAGGGACGACAAGGGGGGCGTGATGCGACCGCGGCGGGCCGCGTGCGCCGCAGCTGGGAGAA